GCCGAGGCTTGGGCTCCCCTCCCCTGCCCGCAGCAGCTCTGCCTGCACACCCCAACACTTCTGTTAAAGACTTCTGTGAAAAATCTGGTTTGGTGCAATTTTAGCCACATACTAACTTCCACATAAAACTGTGGAAAATAAATGCGTCGTGTCATTTTTCATATAAAATTGTTTCGTACCAGTTACACCTTTTGGTTTCATTCACAGAAACTGAAAACGCAGCAAAATTTGTCCTGAGGGAGTCTGCATCTGTTAAAAACATTTTCTATCCATTTTTGCATTAGGAATACACAGTAAGGATACAAACCCTGCAACCTCTTAATTAAACAGATGTGGATAGTTTGAAAGTGAAGGCAGTTCTAAGGAAACCCCTGTGTACCACAATAGCCGTACGCTGCAGCAGAACCCACGCCTCAATTTTAGCGATAGTAACCAAAAGCCACTCTACAGCAGATAAAGCAACTAATATAGTGAAGGCTCCGGAAACAAGAAGAAAGGCAATATCCACAGCTGGAGCAAGTTAAGGAGATCTCCTGTCTTATTAAGAAGTTAAAACAGGTACTGGTAAATTATATACAGTACTTTTACTTTACACTGAGAACAAAGTAAATCGGAGGGTGAAATAAGATATTCCCCCCTTTCCTGACCCAGCAGCATTGCGAGCCCACCCACTTTGCCTCCAGTAAAATCTGAACCTGTGCTAAATTGCGTCCTCCGAACCCAGACAAACACAACCAAACCCTCCCATTCATTCGCACGGCTCCTTGCCACTCGCAGCGGCTATGTGAGAAAAGCAAGTATTTTAAATGCATTCTGCACCTCAATTACATGTTTAACCATTACCCAGCCCCAGAAGAATCCACGGAGTACACAAAAAACATTTATTTGCCCCAAGTCAGGAAAGAAACTCTGACAGGTGACGAGGGGACAAAGCTGTGCCTGGGCCGTCCTTACGCGGCAGGACCCCAACAGCTCGAGGCTCCCACGAGGCTGGTGCCACCCGCCCCAGCCCGGAGAGGCCCCGGGCTGCTCCGGATTACTTGGGATTGCTTGTCCCTACGGCAGCCTTTACGAACAGAGAACGCCAAAGTAAAATTCAAACCGCCTGTTTGGCCTTCCTCCCTCTGCACACCTGCTCCCTCTCTTCCCTTGCTGTACCCAAGGACGCAGCTTCTTTTCTTGCTATCGCATTAAAAACATGTGCAGATCAGGAATCTGCCATTAAAAAAGAACAAGTAAAGAAGTTGATCTTCCTTCTCCAACAAGTTGCATAGCAAGTATCTTTACCCGCGACAGGCAACCAGTGTGCTGAACTGGCGCTCCGTTAAATCCAGGGATGCAGTTCTGTAAGAACTATCTGTTTTGCTACAGCTTGGCAAGACGAGTTGTCGGTGCTCTCCGGTGGTATCGGAGGACAGCCTGCGGTGCTCAGCGCAACCTGAGAACGGGTTATCGGGCGCGGGCCGGCGACCCTCGCCTGGCGGCCGCAGCCTAGCTGCTGCCCGCGGAGGAGCAGACGGAGCTGCACATGTTCAAGTTGGAGGTCTCGGACTCGGCCTCTGTCTCAGCTTCGTCGGTGGTCTCGGGGGGGGACACGGACTCGCTCGTCTGCTCTTGGCTCTTCTTTAGCCTGTGTGGAGCAGAGGAACCAGGCGTTAGGCAGTCATCCCCAGATCAAACGCCCCGCAGAAGGGGTGGTGTGACGGTGGGCTACAGCAGCCAGCGCCCCCCGGGCTGCCCACACGCCACCCATGGTAAACGAGAGAAGTCCTTTCAGAGCATACGGAGCACATAAAAAGGCCATGGCAGAGACTGACCTATCAGCAAAACACATCGAAACACTCTAAAATACTCCGCTGTGACCTGCGAGGCTTCAGCGCTGCCCACCCAGACCTCGGCCACCAGTGCCCTGTGCTCAGGGCAGCAGGCCCCCAGCCACGCACCACCTCCGCCACAGAGGCTGTCTCCTGTTTTACTTACGAACCAAACATTCTCACGTCAGCGTGCTCGACCACGGGGAAAGCAGCTGCTTTAACTCCAGCGCTTTCACTGCCCGCTCACGCCCTGCAGAGATTTTAGCACGTTCCTTGCCTTCATTTTCCAAAACATCATCCTCTAAAAGCAGGATGGATGAGAAGATGCTATGGGGGAACTGAAGCAGTGTCGCATACATATGTTAAATCCCAGAAGTCTCTCTGCAGCATATTTTATTTAATGGCAGTGATTAATAATCCCTGCTCTTGTCTCCCTTTTTGGTGAGAACTGCTTTTCATACAGAGGCAGCACCTGAGCTCCTCGGCTGGCGTCAGTCACCCAGGGCCAAGCCCGCGGCGAGATGCTCCCGGCCATCAGGCACTGGCATTCTGCTTCCTAAGGGAAATCAGGAAAAAGAGTATTTTTTCTTTCAAAAAAAATTACCCCCCCCCACTCACTTCTCTCTGTTGAAGATGACAAAGTCTTGCTGGATAGCTTCAAGGCATTCTTGGAGATAGTCATTTTCCTGTTGAAGAAAAACAACACACGCATAAGCAGCCCCATTTGCATCTCATTGCTGCCTACAGCATCGCAGGGCTCCCGGCTCTACGCACAGAGCCTCCCAGACATTTCAGCCGAACCAGGTGATGGAAACAGCACAGCTGACGGCCTCATGGCTTTCACCGGCGGCTCGTTTCATCTGTGGCGAGCACAGTTTTCCATAAAACAGATAGCGCACAGTTTTCCAGCTAAACACCACACATTTATCTGTGTATTCTGCTTTTGGGAGTGCTATCTGCCTGCAGGAAGGAAAGCCAGCGCAGGGGAGAGACCAGCACAAAGCCTGCGCCTGTGGGTCTTTGCAAGAACAAGGCACAAGCCGGTGGCCCTGTCCCACAGCTGGCTGCTCCCAGCCAGGGGCTGTGCAGGTACGCTGGCTGTGTGCGGGCCGGGAAGCTGGCAGCACCCACGGGGCAGCAGGGAAACGCGGGTGTGTAGACAACGCGCGCTTCCCCATTTCTGCCTTTATTTTACCTCCTGCATCACCTCTGTCTCGGTGCAGAGACCTCCTCTGAAGCCAGATGCTGCTGCTCCACTCCACCTCCAACCGCAGCAGGGACGCCTGTCTCCTGCCCAGGCCGAGTCTCGCCCTGGCCTTGTTCCGCTCGCCCGTGCACCGCAGCCACGGGCCATGGCCACGGCGAGGGATGGGCTCCTGCCAGGGAGGGGCAGGCAAAGTGCCCTTAACGCTCTAGGCAGCAAAACCTCAGAGAGGAATTTGCAAATTTGCTTATTCTGCTTTTTTTCCTCCCTCGCTTGTTTGTCCCCTTAGTCTGGGATTTGCGGAGCTCAGAGGTGCTGCGCAGGGGAAGCAGGGACAGTGGGTGATGTGCGTTTGCTCTCCCAAGCCTCCCCGGCACACCACCCTACCTGCAAACACCCCTTACAGAACCCTGCTTTCTGCAGGACTGAGTACCTGCTCTGCTGTGTAAGGAGCTGGTTTTACTCCTGGGACATGTCTGCTCTGTGAAACCAAGATTCTTGTATTTATCTCCCCAGTGATATAAAAGCACTGTGACTCCCACAGTGAAAAGAAGAAACAAATGCATCTTGTCTCTAGCTTAATTTCCCAGCTGATGGATCCCTCTCTGCAGAAAGTGCTCATGGGCACAGCCGCACACTTCTCCACGCTCACGTGCTGGCCTCCTCAGCGGCGCAGCCAGAGCTCGCCCTGGTGCAGGAGCCCGGCAGAGCCGCGGGGCTCACCCAGCTGCACAGCTCACGTGGTGAGAAAACACAGGATGGTTCCCTGAAAACGGGACTGACTGGCCAGCTGTTTCTGCATGGCCATCACCAGCACTTGGATAAACTACTAGTGTGCAACCCCAATAAACAGCTGTCACAGACACTGGGCAGCGCCTCTTGGAAAGGTGAAGATCGTACGGACGTGTTTTGGGACCTTTTTGAGTTTTTCTCTTGACCAGTGTGCCCAGACCTCTGTTTCCCATTTCATTTTCCAAAGTACAGATTACTGTGAAAGAGTTTTATCAAACTTATGTAAAAGGAACATTTGGCTTTCGAGAAGACTCCATTGGGCAAATGTTTTCATCAGAATAAATCTGCAGTTACTGCATTGTCTCAGTGACTGCTGCTGTACATCCCCAAATTCAGCAGCTCAGCCTTTTTTCCTGGTTGGCTGTTACCCCAGAAAGCACTTACGGACTGAGAGCTGTCTTTGCTGTTATCCCTCGACTTGTTCTTTGCAAGCCTCTTTTTCTTCTTGTGCAAGGGCCTCGACTCCAGAATCATCTCCTCCAGCTCGAAGGTGGGGTCGCAGTGCAGGCGGCCCTTCTGCCGGGACACACGACACGACAGCACAGGCGTCAGGCACAGCAGAGACCCTC